ACTAATTCGGTTGGTAGTTCCCGCTCATTTGCTCTCTCCACCTTCTTGGGCCTTCTAGAATATGTGCATGTGATGGGGGGTCTATCACTACCCCCGGGTTCGAAAGAAACCTTGTCCTCAAGGTGGAGATCTGGAAAGTGATTAGAAATGGAGGTGATTGGTTCCCAGGAGGCTTCTGAAATTGGGAGTCCTTTCCATTGGATCAAGACCTCTTGCTCTGCAGGTGATTTTCGAGTTCCCAAAACTTGCTCTGGCACCATATCCCATTCCAAGGTTGTAGACAAGTGTGGGGGAACTTGCTGGCATACGTCGTTCTCTTCAACGGCTTTTTTCAGCTGTGAGATATGAAAAACCGGATGAATAGAAGCGGAGGGAGGCAGCTCCAATTTGTATGCAACCGTCCCAATTCGTTTGATGACTTTGAAAGGTCCAAAGTAACGAGGTCCAAGTTTCTCATTTGGTTTTCTGGCCAAGGAACGGAGGCGGTAAGGCCGAAGCTTAACATAAACCAAGTCCCCTTCATTCAAGTGAACTTCCCGGCGGTGGCGGTCTGCTAATGATTTCATTCTTTCCTGAGAACGTGATAAGTGTGCCTTCAGTTCATCCAAGATAGCATCTCGTTCACTTAACTGCAGCTCCACAGCATTTACTTTTGTTGATTGGGATCCATATCGAACCAGAGGAGGAGGGTCTCTGCCATAAACAGCTCGGAAGGGTGTGGTATTGGTTGAAGCATGGTAAGTTGTATTGTACCAATATTCGGCCCAAGGCAGCCAGTTATTCCAGCTCCGCGGTTTGTCATAGGCAAAACACCGTAAGTAGTTCTCAACACATTGATTTACCACCTCTGTTTGCCCGTCGGTTTGAGGATGGTATGACATACTTCGGCGGAGGAAGGTACCTTGCAACCGAAAGAGCTCTGACCAAAAATTACTGACAAAGATTTTATCCCTGTCTGACACAATGGATCGCGGCACTCCATGGAGTTTGATCACCTCTTTCACAAAAACCCCTGCGACCACTGCTGCGGAGAAGGGGTGCCTTAGGGAAATGAAGTGGGCATATTTACTCAGCCTGTCCACTACTACCAAGATGGAATCAAACCCTCCGGACTTAGGTAATCCTTCGATGAAGTCCATTGAGATGTCCTCCCAAATTAACTGAGGAATTGGCAGTGGTTGAAGAAGTCCAGCTGGGGATAGTGCCAGGCTCTTGTTTTTTTGGCAAACGGGGCATTCTTCCACGAATTTCCTTATATCTTTCTTCATGCCCTCCCAGTACAAATCACCTGTGAGGCGCTTGTAAGTTCGGAGGAATCCTGAGTGCCCTCCCATGGAGCTGCTGTGGAATTCCGATAACAGTGATGGAATCAGGGAGGAGGATCGGGGAAGGACTAGGCGATCCTTGTAGAATAACTTGCCTTGTTCTAGTGAGTAACGCGGGTGAGAGTCAGAGTCCTCTTGCAAGTCCTTTTTGATCTTGGATAGCCGGGAGTCAGCCTCCACCTGTGCAGCTATCAACTGGACATCAATGACCCAAGAATAACTAAGAGCTGATAGTTCAGGTGGCCTTTCGACTCGAGATAGTGCATCTGCCGCCTTATTATCTAGCCCTGGGCGATATTGGATTTCAAATTCATAACCCAACAATTTGGCTACCCAGCGTTGGAACTCAGCTGGAATGACTCTTTGTTCCAGCAAATACTTCAAACTTCGCTGGTCGGTCCGAACTATGAACTTACGCCCCAGTACATAATGTCTCCGCTTCTGGACCGAGAGTACAATGGCCATTAGTTCGCGTTCATATACCGACTTAAGCTGAGACCTTGCTGACAATACTTGGCTGAAGTAGGCTATAGGCCGCTGGTTTTGCATGAGTACTGCGCCCAACCCATATCCTGACGCATCTGTTTCTATGATGATTGGCTGAGAGAAATCTGGGAGTGCTAATACTGGCACTGTGGTCATTGCCCTTTTCAGATTTTGGAAGGCTTCCTCTGCTTCCGAGTTCCAGTTAAATGCGTCTTTTTTAAGTTGTTGAGTAAGGGCCCATGCTATGGCCCCATATCCAGCTACGAACTTTCGGTAATACCCCGTCAATCCCAAGAACCCACGGAGTTCCTTGAGGTTCCGAGGGGAAGGCCATTTTTCCATGGCGGTAATCTTACTGGGGTCAGCTGCTACCCCTTTGGCAGAAACCAAGTGTCCCAAATATTCTATCTGGGGTTGTGCGAACATGCATTTTTTTGCATTCACTACCAGCTGATGTGATTCTAAAACAGTGAAGACCAAGTCTAAGTGCTGCTCATGGGATGCTTGATCCTTGCTATAAATCAGAATGTCGTCGAAGAATACGAGTACAAACTTTCTCAGGTAGTCCTTAAACACTTGATTCATTAGGGATTGAAAGGTTGCTGGCGCATTAGTGAGGCCGAAAGGCATTACTAGAAATTCATAATGCCCTTCGTGTGTCCTGAAGGCCGTTTTGTTGACATCCTCTCCCTTAACTCGAATTTGATGATACCCTGACCTTAGATCCAGTTTCGAGAACACTGAAGCTCCATGCAGTTCATCTAGTAGCTCATCTATCACAGGAATAGAAAATTTATCCGGAACAGTGACCTTATTCAGTGCTCTATAGTCTATACAAAACCTCCAACTTCCATCCTTCTTTTTAACTAGCAACACAGGACTTGAAAAAGGACTAGTACTGGGTTGTATTATGCCGGCAGCTAGCATTTCCTCCACCAATCGTTCAATCTCATTTTTCTGAAAATGAGGATATCAGTATGGCCGCACGCTGATTGGTTCCGCTCCTTCTCTCAAGGTGATGGAATGATCCGTGCTCCTGACTGGGGGTAGTTTCCCTGTGGAGTTGAGAACTTGAGAATGGCGTTCAATTATCTCTGCCACTCCGGCCGGTAGGCTAAGAACTGTAGCCGACTCCTCTCTTGCCACTGTGAGACTACCCAGCCATACCGCCTGTACATCTTGTTGTAGTACTTTAACCAAGGTTTTGAGGGAAATTCCGGTTTTGATGAGCCCGGGGTCTCCTTTGAGAGTCATAATTGTGTCTCCCACTTTGAACCGCATTGTCAATAGTTTCCAGTCGACCTCCATTACCCCCAAACTTCCTAACCATTGCATCCCTAGGATCACATCTGTGCTTCCAAGTTCCAGCGGTAGAAAATCCTCAACAATCCACAAATCTTGAATCTCGAGGCTCACCCCTGTGCAAATCCCCTTCCCTCGGACTGATTCCCCAGTCCCTATCACCACTCCATAGTTCGTCGTACTGGTAATAGGTAGTTCTAGCTTATTGACCAACTGGAGTGAGAGGAAATTATGGGTTGCCCCACAATCTATCAGTACGGTCACTGTCTCCGAGCCCACTCTTCCCGTCATTTTCATCGTGCCCGGTGTGGACAAACCGATCACTGAGTTAATAGATAATTCCACTTTTTCCGTTACTTCAATGCGATGTTCTTCTTGCCTTTCAAGCTCCACTTCCTCCTCATCTCCTTCCTGTACCAGCAGCACCCTGAGCTCCTTGTTCTTACATTGATGCCCAAAAGTGTATTTTTCATCACATTTGAAACATAGTCCCTTCTCTTTTCTGGATTGGAATTCTGCTTCTGTCATTTTCTTGGTCGGAAACTCCCTGCGAACCGGAGAGGGCTTTTCCCCCACTGTCACCGATCGAGTTGGGAAGGAATCCAATCTCCTCGCGTCCCACCCTGAAGTGTGGTAACTGGGTTTTGAAGACTTAGGTCCCAAAGGGCCTTGGACCTCTTTTAATACCCGGTTTCGATCTTCTACTCGTTGGGCCGTTTCCATGATATTCCCTAGCCCAACAGGCTTCAGCAAACGGACCTCAGCCCTGATTTCGGTTTTAAGTCCATTTATGAACGTACTTTCCATGACTTCTTCTGGAAGCCCAATTAATGGGGCAGCCAATATTTCAAACATTCTCCTGAAATCCGACACCGTCCCCTCTTGCCGGACCGCCAGAAATTTCTCGCAAAGGTTTCCTTCCTGTGTTGGCCGGAAACGCCTCAGTAGGCGGTGGCGAAATTGCTCCCAATGTTGAATGGGCTCCCTGGCTTCCGTCCATTGTAGTCAGGACAGGGCATCTCCGTCTAGGCTGACTGCTATTGCTCCCAATTTCTCCCGTTCTGTCAGCCCATTTACTTCGAAGTACCTTTCAGCACGAAACAACCACCCGTCCGGATTCTCACCACTGAAAATCGGCATTTCTAGCTTCCTGATTCGCCGCCAATCACCGCCTTCACTGTTTGGACCAGAATTGGTTATCTCACCGTCCGACCCTACTTCGCCGGAAGCCTCTGGCCATTTTCCCCTCTCTTTCGTATCTTTAATACTTGTGATTCCGCTGGGTGCAAACTGCGGTAATTTTCCATCCAGAGCTGTTCCAGATCCTTCTCCTTCGTTTACCCCTGATTTGGGAAGTGTTAACGCTGCTACGGCCTTTTGGGTGGCTTCCATAGACTGCAGTATCTTGTTTATATTCAGGGATAGGTGCTCCACCGATTTTTCGAGTCCTGGTAGCCTCTGTAACTCTGATTTCATCTCCTCCAGGTCCTTTTCGACTGCCTCCATGCGAGTTTCCATTTTCTTTTGGGCCATCAGAATCGGTTGCTCTGATACCAAATGATAGAGTTCCGTGGGAAAGACAAGTTCAACAACTTCTTTATTGAAACCAAAGACCGGATTACAGATTATGAAATGAAAAGAAAGCCTATGGAAGGCTGAAAAATGCACGACTACTACTCTTCTTCCTTTCTGATCCCCACTATTCCTTCTTACTATCTTATTTATAGACCTTATACAACAATTTTCTGTTTATGTAACTAATTCGGTTGGTAGTTCCCGCTCATTTGCTCTCTCCACCTTCTTGGGCCTTCTAGAATATGTACATGTGATGGGGGGTCTATCACAATTTTATATATCTGATGTAAACTTCTGAATGCTTAAATGATTCTTGCATATGCTTAATATTTTCCAGATCGAGTATTTGGCCCTACAACTACAACACGGCATGTGTATGATGTTGCTTCACAGCATGTTGTCAGTGGTGCTATGGGAGGAGTCAATGGTACGTACCGTATTTTTGCCATCTCTTACAGCTTCTGGTTATTGTGATTTACTGCCTTCAAGATTTCTATGTTAGATAACATTGAAGGCTAGTGATGAAACTACCTTCCTAGCATTCTTCTAAAATATATACAATCTTTCATAAATTCGAATCATGACAGAGTTTTATGGGGTTAATAGCTAATTACTTCTTTGTAAGGTAGTAAACTGGTGCGATTGATTAACTGCTGATGGACAACTTGACTAAATTTTGCATGTTCGCAGTGAAGAAAACATTAACGATGATAAGAAGATAAAAGCGAGGCCATGGAATTGTTAATCCTAATTATATGGGATGTGACTTGGACTCATTTGAATGACAGCATGGACCCAAGCATGCTCAAAGCTGTTCAGAAATTATATAGACCTGTGTCATTGGGTTATTCTTTGTATATCAGCATCTTTGAAATAAGTTAGCTTGCCTGAGTGCTTCAAAAACTGAGGAATACTTGTCGTTCAGTAGTTTTCAAAAAATCAAAAAACAACTTTTTTATGGCTCAAAATGATATTATGATGATATCTTAACTACTGGACAAAATTTGGAGGGTTTTCAAAATATGATTTTTCTTCATTTTATGTAGAGTTTTTTTATTTTATTATATTTTATTTTATTTTATTTTTTTTCCTCCCCCGAGTACCATTCTTTCCATCTTTCAGGTTTTCGTTATTTATTTTTTTCCTATTTCAGGTACAATCTTTGCATATGGAGTTACAAGCAGTGGGAAGACCCACACCATGCATGTAAGAAAACCTTCTTATTGGTTTGTTTCAGTCTCTTCACATTTTGACGTATGAGCATGTGATCACAATGTCCTGCTTGATGCAAAATTATACTTGAAATTTTTTTGTTCTGTTACTTTTAGTTATCTATTGTTAAAACAACAGTCAGATCGAATCCAGGACAATTAGTAATGTGTTAGGAGAAATTTCTACAATAAACTGCGGTTACAATTCCTATATTATATTCAAGGCTTGTGGTTGAAATTGTTGCAGTCAGATTGATCCTTTGGGAAAAAGAAAAAGCTGAATACAGTCCATAAGCCAAAATTAACTCGCTTTATTCTGCACACTGCCATATGTAGAATGAACCAAACTGCAGTTATCAACGTGCCAGCTAAAATTTGGTAATCATTCAAAATGGAAATAAGCATTTTTGAGTCATATTACTTTGCTGTGTTGATCTCGACTTATCTTAGTATTTGGGAAGGGAGTTTAGTATGTTGTACATTTACCCAAAGTTTTTATTAACTGCATTTTTGTGCTTGGTTATTGCTCCCACCAACTTCTCCAGCATCTTATTGTTTTCTAGAGCACATGTTCCATACACTTCATTGTATCAGTTATAGCCATGATGTACCGTATGTTAACTACTGATATTTGAAGATATTATTTTCTGAAATCAGACCAACTCGATATCCTTAAGCTTTTTGCTTGCACTGCAGGGTGATCAGAGGTCTCCAGGCATTATACCATTAGCTGTAAAAGATGCTTTCAGCATCATTCAAGAGGTACTTTAAAGCAATTTAGCCTGCATTATTCCTAAAATTTAGCCTGCATAATTCCGCCAGTAGAAACTATCTCCTGATAATAAATATTTACCATTATGTTTGTGACTGCTTCAGACTCCAAGTCGAGAGTTTCTTCTCCGTGTCTCATATTTGGAAATCTACAATGAGGTAAGACTCTTGCTATTTTTCAACTCTTTATATTGTGAAGCAAGGCTTGTTACACATTATGGGTCCATAGCAGGCATCAAAGAGAAATTGGAGTGGCTAGTGTCTTGGCATCCCCCCTTTCAAGTCATAATTATCTGGTTGTGTTTGTTTTTGGATCCCCCTGTGATATCGCTATCTGTAATCCTATTAAATTTTGCCAATATGCATCCTTTTTACTTCCCAGTCTTCCCTCTTTCCCAACTATTTCTCAGCAGTTTATGACTTGGTACTGCTGCTCTCTGGTTGAATTGTTTTCTAAATCTGCGGGTTTGTAGACCCCTCCCCAGAGTCCCCGTCTCTTATTTTGCTCTTATTTGTAACAGTGCTTGAAATTTCTCATCTCTTTGTTTTTTTGGGATGCTGGTTGGTTTAAATATCTATTACTTGTGATACTAGTAACTATTTCCAGTTGTATGGATATTATTGGATGCATAATCCAAGAAAAAGAAGCTTTATCTATATTTCTTTAAGGTTACCCTGATTTCAGGTTGTTAATGATTTGTTAAATCCAGCTGGACAGAATTTAAGAATTCGAGAGGACTCTCAGGTACAATTTTTATTGTTTTCTGACCAAATAATGATGAATTGTCCTGGACAAGTGACTTTCATGTAGATGGGGTGGATTAGGAAATATATGGGAAAGGTATTGTGTGATGCCCTGGGTCTTAAATGTCCAAGTGCCACTAAAACTTACTTAAGAGTTAAAAGTTACACATGGTAAAATTTTATGAAATCATCGATGCAATAAAAAGATTAATAATTAAAAATGTTCATAATAATAGAAAGATATTTTCAAAGCAAAGTCATGTGTTCAACGTGTTCAATTACTTAAAGATGAAAAGCTCACTTAAAGAAAATTAGAAAAATGAATTTCTTAGATGTAATTATATATCCTATTGTTGCAAGCCATCTCTGTGCCAACTGTCTTAAACCGCTAGTTTCCCGTATGGGAAAATGAAGGGGTAAGATATTACTCAACAAGTGTACTCCATAAATCATATCATACATAAAGGAGATTTAAGAAAAAATTCTAAATTTAGGTGATAGAGATTTTTTGTGTATAGCGCCATTAAACTCCGGTCCTCTTATCATTAACGTATTCATATTAGGACAAAAAAATGTTATACAAAAGACCAAATTTGGGGCTTGCTTGAATTTTGAAATGAATGGTGTGGAAATTAGACTCTTAGATGACCTCTTCAAAGAAACTTGAAAGCTTTTCCCTTATTTTCTTTTCTTTCCTTTACTTTTCTCTTCTCTCTAGCTAACTTGGGTGTATGCCTTGTGTATGTGTGTGGCCATATGTGTTGTGTGAGATATAAAAGAGTAGGTGTGTTTTGGGTGGTGCCATGTGTAGTATGTAGTTTGGGTTTGGTCTTGGTTTGGGCATAGTAACTGTTGATTTAATTGTTTTGCTAATTTAATGCAAGACAAAATCTTTTCCTTATAAAAGATATGATTTAATACTCGTATTTAATCATATATGTAAGTTAAGATATATGTATAATATCGGATATATCATTTCCTTGTAAATGGAAAGAAAGGTATTGATTTTTCATATTCATACTTGAAAATCAATATGATTGAAACTTGATTCTTTTATTTGATTGCAGTCACTGAGGCCCTGTTTGATTCACATTCTTTAAAAAAAAAAAAATACATTATTAAACAGTGATTTGACATCATTTCAACCATATATACTTAAATAAAATAATATTATACATAAATTCAAAACTTTTTCTTATTTTTAAACTACACATTTTCTATCAATATACTATTCAAAAATACATTTTTATGAAAATAATGTGGTTCAAACAAGGGTGTAATATAAGAACCAATAAAAAAAATGTTAAATTGAAAAGAAATATAATTTTATATTTCTTTGGCCTAAATTACAGACATTTTCCATCATAACAAGACAAAATCTCCAATCATCCAAATTTTCTTCCCTTTCATTACGAAATGACATTTAACAACCTTTCAAATTGACTTCTTCTACGTTTCACTTTAGCTGCCCAAAACAATGTTCATAGTCGAGACAATGTATATTCTTTTTTTTTTTTTTTCGAATTTTGCAGTTTAGTCCTCCCAAACTAAAAGGTTATCATTTTGGTCCATGAACTTTCAAATATTTTACAGCAAGACCCAAATTCAAAAATAATGGTTGTCAAAGGGAATTCGGGGTGTTATAAACTGTGGATGGTTTAATAGATATATGGGAATATAATGTCTTATGGGGCTTAAATAAAACAATAAGGACTTTTGATATGACAAAGAAGATGAGATAAATGGATGCAATATTAATTTGAATAGAGCGAGAGAAACTGCTGGAGATGACTATAACAGGAAGTAGAAGAGGCTAATGGGCTAAGATTTCATTTAACTTTGATCTAGGAAGGGAAGATGAAAAGTGATGTAGAATCAATGAAAATAAGTGAATATCAAAATCAAAGCAAGAACAAGAGGAAGAAAGGAGAAAGAGAAGGGAAAAAAAAAAACGTGAGAGAAGAAAGAGGGGGGAAGAGAGAAGACGGAGGAGTGGAAGGCAACAATTCATTCATTCATCATCTACCTTTCAATCCCAATTACAATAACATAAATAACAAAATAATAACTTGGGCTTGGGCCAAACCCATATACAAGCTCAATGAGACATAAGTCCAAAATAAGTAGTTAAAATACATAAGACCAAAATAAATGGAAGATAAAATGGGGATGGGATGATGTCCGCATCAACTCTCCCGGGGTGGGAGAAAAACTCGACCCCGTCGAGGAGGTAGATCACAAAAGGCTCTATCAATCTCCTAGCCACAAACTGATCGATTGAGCAAACTTCTTTTGGCATCTGTAGACACGCAAGGGTGGTGGTGCGGGTAGAGGAAGATCTTGTTGACTCCTATAATGCTCCAACAAATCAGGATCAAGCTGTTGAAGTGTCTCTTTGGAAATCCAAGTACAATCAGAATCAGGACGGCCCTCCCAACGAACAAGGAAGCGCTGAATGTCTCCATCCTTGGTTAATATAGTCTATGCATCTAGAATATCATCAATTTTATCTTTATGTGCTGCAGCAAGTGGAATTGGGGCAGGGATAACATGTTCAGGATGAGGGTCCAGAGATGGAGGTGTGAAAAGATCATCAGCGGGGTGAAATTGACCTTTGTAAGCAACTAAGTCTTCAACATTAAATGTATGGTGATAGCCAAAATGTGATGGTAAGTCAATGACATAAGCATTTGGACCAACACGCTTTAAAATTCTAAAAGGACCAGCACTACGAGCTTGCAATTTGGAAGCAGGCCTGGATGGACGCCGTTCCGGTCTAATTCGAATCATAACATAATCCCCAACATTAAATTCAACATGTCGTTTGTGCAAATCAGCTCGAAGTTTATATAATGCATTACTCGCTTCTAGCTGTTTATTGATCTCAATATGCAAGTCACGCAGATGTTGTGCAAAAAACTCAGCTGACACAGACACACTAGCATGTGGTGACATAGGAATAAGGTCTAACGGCTTCCTAGACTTAAAACCATGAACAACCTCAAAAGGACTCATACCTATAGACCGATTCACTGAACTGTTATATGCAAGTTGGGCAGTAGGAAGAATTAAATCCCAATTTCTAAGAGTTTCCTAGACTAGACATCTTAATAGATTACCAAGACTGCGATTAACAACCTCAGTTTGATCGTCCGTTTGTGGGTGGTATGCAGTAGAGAATTTCAGTTTAGTGCCAACCATACTCCATAGGGGTTCGCCAAAAATGGCTAGTGAAGCGAACATCCCTATTCGAGACAATGGTTTTAGGGAGGCCATACAGCTTAACGATCTCATGGAAGTATAACTTAGCAACCTTAGACGCATCGGAAGTCTTGTTACAGGGAATAAAGTGTGCCATTTTCGAGAAGCGATCTACGACAACAAAAATGGAGTCGTGTTTCTTTGGAGTACGTGGCAACCCTAGCACGAAATCCATATTAACGTCTTGCCAAGGACAATTAGGGACCGGGAGAGGAGTGTAGAGGCCTGTGTTTTGCCTTTTGTGCTTAGATCGTTGACATGCGTTACATGTGCTGACAATCTTGGCCACGTCGGTCTTTAAACTGGGCCAATAAAATTGACGTTCAATTTCCTCTATGGTCTTATCACGCCCAAAATGTCCAGCCAACCCACCAGCATGACTTTCCCACACTATAAAGTCTTGCACTGAAGTCCTTGGGATGCACAACTTATTGGATCTAAAAAGATAGCCCTCCTCCAAATGGAAACCATCAGCGGTGTCCAATTCCCCATTTTGCAAAGCAAGAAAAAAGTCCCTGAAATCGGGACATGACTCGTACTCTTCCTTAAGTCTTTCAAACCCTAGAACCTTAACACTCATGACGGACAACAAGGAGATGCGACGGCTTAAAGCGTCAGCAGCTCGATTTTCAACACCTTTCTTATGCTTTAAGACAAAAGAATAGGTTTGCAAATATTCGATCCAGCGGCCATGCCGAGAATTCAATCGTTTCTGGGAATTAAGGAAACGAAGGGCCTCATGGTCAAAAAAGAGGACAAATTCGTGGGGTAATAAGTAATGACGCCAATAGCGCAAGGCTTGTACAACTGCGTACAACTCCTTATCATAAGTCGAGTACCGTTGCTTGGCATCATTTAATTTCTCACTAAAATAAGCAATAGGATGGCGTTCTTGACTCAAGACTCCACCTATTCCTACCCCTGACACATTACATTCGACCTCAAAAACTTTGGAAAAATCTGGGAGTCGCATGATAGGAGCTTCTGTCATTCGCCTTTTGATTAACTGAAAGGCCTTAGCCGCTTTTTGCGTCCAATGAAATTCTCCTCTCTTCATACACTCTATGATAGGAGCCATAATCGTACTAAATCCCTTGATGAAACGACGATAAAAGGTAGCTAAACCATGAAAACTCCTAACATCATGTATATTCTTGGGATCTGGCCACTCAACAATTGCCCGAATCTTTGCAGGATCAGCAGATGCTCCCGTAGCGGAAACAACAAATTCGAGAAACACAATTGTATCCGTGAAGAAAGAACATTTCTTCACATTGGCATACAAGCTTGTTGCACGCAATGTGGAGCAAACTTGCGTGAGATGATCTCGATGTTGTTCCCTTGTTTTATTGTACACAAGGATGTCATCAAAGTATACGACAATGAATTTGCCCATGAAAGGCAGAAGGGCCTGTGCCATCACCTTCATAAAAGTACTTGGAGCATTGGTTAGTCCAAAAGGCATTACCAACCACTCGTATAGGCCATCTTTTGTTTTAAATGCATTTTTCCACTCGTCTCCTGGGCGGATCCGAATCTGATGATACCCTCTCTTCAAATCGATTTTGGAAAAGATTGTGGCACCGGCCATCATATCTAGCATATCATCAAGTCGAGGGATGGGAAAACGATACTTAATAGTAATCTTATTGATAGCGCGACTATCAACGCACATCCTCCAAGAACCATCCTTCTTAGGTGTGAGAAGGGCAGGAACTGCACAAGGGCTTAAGCTTTCACGGATGAAGCCTTTGTGAAGGAGTTCACCCACTTGTCTCTGAAGCTCAGCATGTTTAGTAGGATTCATTCTATAGTGAGGCAAATTTGGGAGAGACGAGCCTGGAACTAGATCTATAGCATGTTGTATATCCCGTAAGGGAGGCAATAAATCAGGGAGGCCGTCAGGAAATACATCCTTAAATTCTTGAAGGAGTGATTGGGCTTCAGTAGGGGTCGCTACTGGGGAATCAAACGGGACTTCCATAACAATCACAGCAAATATGATTGAGTCATTTACGATTGTTCGTTCAAATTCTATACGGCTAATCACATGTAATCCTTTCCTCTCGACAATTTTTTTGGCTTGGTGTAAGTCAACGGATTTTGGTGGTAAAGGATTAAGGTGAATCTTCTTTCCATTAAATACAAAAGAACATGAATTTGATCGCCCATGGATAGTTACATCCAGATCGAACAACCAAGGTCGACCAAGAATGACATGTCCAACGTCCATAGGGATGACGTCACACCATATATGATCCTTATACTCAAGGAATTGGATAGGCACAAGACAATACTCTTTCACAGCTATAGAAGAAGTGTCAACCCAAGAGACGCTATATGGTTGGGGGTGCGGGACTGACTTCAACCCAAGACGGGATACTGTGGTCACAGAGACCGCGTTAATACAGCTCCCACTGTCAACAATAATCTTACAACCCTTATTGTTGATCTTGATGTAAGTATGAAAAATGGCATGACGGCGCCAATCATCGACATCCTTAGGTTGGGTAAGTGTACAACGTACAACACTCAACCGAGATGTGTCGGGGGCCAGATAAGTAGGACCTAGACCTACAGGAAGGGTATGAAGGCAACCTAAGAAGGTATCTTCATTATCACCCAAATCGTCAAATTCTTCAAAGTTAGGCTCATAGACTTGATCTTCTAAAGGCTCATCAACAACATCCTTTCGCTCGTCAATAACTAAGGCTCGGCTCGGACATCTAGAGGAGATGTGGCCGAAGTCCTTACAATTGAAGCATTGCAAATGAGAAGAGGTTCTTGAGTTTCCAGAGCTTTACCTTTATTGTCTAAAGTAGAGAGTGCGTTAGACGGTGGGGGTCCAAGAAGAGATTTGGTGGGAGGAGGTGGTGCCGATGAGATGGATGGACGATTATCACTACGCCTTACATATGGAGTCTTAGTAATCGACTCGTAATCTCGAACTAAGGAATAAGCGTGATCGAGAGTGGTGACACCTCGAAGGACAAGCTCACGCCGAAGATCATCTCTTAGGCCTTGTCTGAACCTACTTAAAGTCATAGCTTCATCCTCGACGATGTGGCATCGCATTCGGAACTCATCAAATTGAGTAACATAGTCAGTCACTGGACGGTTTCCTGGTGTGAGGGTATTCCACTGGTCCAACAAGTTGCTCCTATAAGAGGGGGGGGGGGGAAAA